GCTGTAAGCTATTTTGAACACTTTTCATCTGGTGGTGGTTAGTCTTTTTCATATTGCTTTGTAAGAACTCTTCATATATTAAGGACATTTCACTATGCCACTAAAACAAGCTACAAATTTTCTTTCTGCTTGGTTGGCTTCAATTAGGGTAGTTTTACATTTTTCCTCAGAACAAATGAACAGTTTTGAGCATGACCTTGTTGTTTTGCTAGTAATTTTTTCTGCAATGGAAAAAAAAAATTATTAAGAAAGCAAATAATTTTGCCAAAGTGAAAGACTTTCATGCTTGTACAATATTAGCTATTAAAATCTATTAAAATCCTTTAGCAGGATATGTTTTCCCCAATTAGGGTACTGCTTTTTGTTGCTTTGCTCCATATATATTTAAAACTAGAAAAAAAGTTTAAGTGAAAAAACAGCCCAGAAAGAGAAATAGGTTACATAATCATAATATAGAATTGCTGTTAAGAGAAAAATAAATGAAAAAAAAGTCTTCAATTTAATATTACAGAACTTTAAAAACTGACCTCAATTTCATATCATTTATTACGTACTATAAGTTGATTTTCCAAATAGGATTATATTTCGTTATGATAAGCCCCAGAGAGTGCCATGGTATTCATTTTACAATGCTGCTATAAAATGCCTTTTTCTATCTGCCTACTGTGCACTTAGGCATAGATACTTTTTAAATAAAAAACCCACAGTAGGTATAGACATAATAGCTAACTGACACTGTTGCTCCTATCTTTTTCATATTCAAGAGTAAGAGTCTATTTTAAAAATTAACCATAAAGGCAAAAGCAAGCACAGATAAAATAATGCTCTTCTAGGAAAAGCATTTGAAATTATTTCTTTAGAACAACCATATTGCTTGCCATGTCCCTGTAAAAGTTCCAACAGCGAAATGATTCAGCATTACTTTCTAGGAATGGAATAAAAGGAACAGAGATTATGATGTAAAATGCAGGTATACGCTCACATTCAGGACACACTTAAGATTCTTTACCTTTATATTTGAAAATACTTTTGGGCAAGATTTCTTCTTGAGAGATGCTAATTTCAATTCATCCTTAAATCTTTACCAAAATGCTACATAAAAATACTCAAACAGCTCTACTTAAAATCACATTTTCAAAGTGCTCTTTAAATATCAAAACAAATTCTGGTGGGATATTTTCTAAGTCAAGTAATCTAGAACAAAATAGACAGTGGTAGAACAAATGGGGAAGGGCTGGGTATATCAGAGAAGGAAAACCTCAAACAATGCATATGTAATTATTTCTTATTATGCATCCATATGTAATTATTATTTTTTATTCTTATGTTCATCACTATATTCTTTCTCTGAGAAGAAAAACATAGGGTGGTAATTTCAATGATATGACTACTACAAAACATTTCCCTCCCTCCACCACAGGCATTTAGAGATGAGACAATTTACATCAAGGAAAACGAACATTATTAAGAAAACAAAATTGAAAGCACAAGCTCTTTTAGATGCAAAATCTTACCTAGCTCAAACCTTTTATTACTCTCAAAACTTACTGCTTGCTTAGATAAAACTGTAAAATCACTGCTAAAAATCAATATTCTGAATTTCAACACCTATTTGAAAAATAATTACTATCTGTAAGAGCTGATAAGATGTGAGCAATGTTTTCTAAGGCCCAGTCTTAACCCAGTAACTCTAATAGTCTATTTTGTAAAACTCTGTCAGTTGTGTACATGAAGTTGTGTCCATGTTAATGATTTGCTAAAGTTCCTGTGGTGCCTTCCATGTTTAAGTGGCAAGACTTTTTCTTTCCAGCCTATGAAAAAGAAAATCCTCTTATGTGACAAGACTATTCTAGTTAGAAATAAAGAGTATTACTCCTTATATTAATAACAATTTATCCAAGCTCCAGCAGAGCTCGTTGTCCTTGACAGTGTAACTGCTTTGAAGTTAGCTACAAGGAGGTTCACAGACGTTGGATTCATACTGACCTGGGTTAATCTTAGGTTCTATACCCACAAGCTGTGTGGCTTTGGCTGTGTTGCTCAGTTTCTCTGAACCTCAGTTTCCAAACTCATCTATAAATTGCAGTGAGTAACATCTACTTTCAGCTTACTATTACCTCATTTAAAACGTTTGTGAAATGCTCACCACAGTAGCTGGTAGAAGCCACATAATCAATAAAAATACATCAAAATCAACAGTTATTTCATGACAATACTTTTGAGGAGGTTCAAATATGTATCAAAAATAAGAATGCAACTAGAACAAGTCAGGGAAAACCATCACTCTTTTATGGAAAACAAATAATAAAATTAAGAAAGCATTCACTCCCCAATATGATACTGAAGTTCTTTACCTACAGAAGTCCCTGATTTTCTAGCAGACTTTGCTCTCTCATCCTCCCACACCTCAGTGCTTCCCCCCTCACCTATTTATACTATGGTTTTGAGGCCAAGTCCCAGGTTCTATATAAATCGTGTCCTGAGTCATAATGCATTAGTCATCTCTCCCAAGTGGAAATTCATCTTTTCTAGATCTTTCTTTTCCCCCAGGTAGTTGAGTGCTTTCTTCTCATGAATCTGAGTGACCGAAAGCACCTCTATTGGAGCATTTGTTGTACTTTCTCATATTTTCTGAATTTTCAATAGTTTTAACTATTGTTCAATTATATTTTCAGCAATTAAGATTTTTTAAAATGTACAACCAATTAATTTAAATCTTTCCAGGAATAAAATAGGGTATAAATGAATAAATAATTCAAAATGAAATAGCTGATGACTAATTTTTAAGTAATTGGTCTTTTATAATTGATGTTTCAGGATACCAGAGGCTTTTGTTAGTTACATTTAAGTATTTTCCTGTTTCTCACTTCTTATGTATATTCTGGAGTTGCATCTTCATTCCAGTTGCTTTAGCAGCCACTTGAAAGTTTCATTATTTCCAAGTTTGCTTTTCTTCTTTTATCCTAAGTAGAAATGGTTTTATGTAGACATCTCCGAAGCAAATTTTTCCCCAGAACACAGTATTATGATATTAACAATTTTTATTGCCTCCTTGGGATAGATTTCTAGAAGTACAATCAGTGGACCAAGGTCTTTGATGAATGTTATCAAATTAGTTTGCTAGAAAGTTTAAATGAACATATGTTTCTATTTCATTCCTCTTTGAGTTGTTGACATCTAGCCCAGAAACTATTATTTTGAAAAGTTACTAGTCTAAATATTGTTCGAAAGATAAGATATAACCACCACAATAACAAGGATATAAGGAAATCTAAAAGTAACCATTTGAATGTTCACAATTAAGTACTCATAACAGAACTGAGTCGAAAGTCTGAAAAGACAGATGTCTTCAGGAAGTGTCAGACCTTTTCCAAAGTGGCTGCATCATTTTGCATTCTCACCAACAATGGCAGAGGCTTCCAATTTCTCTGCATCTCTGACATTTACTGTCCTCTGGCTTTATGAGCGTCACCAGAGTGGGTGTGAGGTGCAACCTGACTATGGCTTTGAGCTGCATTTCCCCAGATGACTGATGACAATGACGCTGAGCCATGTGAGGTTGCACGTGGTTAATTGCAACTGTATGGAATCCTTTGAGATAACTCTTCACAGCCTCTACCAATTTTTATATTGAATTGTCTTTTTAAAATTAAGTTGTAGGGGTTTGTTTTAAATACATGTGCTTACCGGATATAAGATTTGTAAATATTTTATTCACTTTTTGTGGTTTGTCCAATTTTTTTTTTAGTATCCTATAAAGCAAAGTTTTCATGTTTGATGAAGACCAATTTAATTTTTTCTTTTGTTGTGTATGCTTTTGGTGTGATATCTAAGAAACCATCTGTAAAAGGAACCCCTATGTTTTCTTCTATGAGTTTTACTGATTTATCCTTTACATGTAAGTTTTTGATCCATTTTGAGTTAATTTTTGTATATTAACTCAATTTGAGGTAGGGGTCCAACTTCATTTTTTTACATGTTGCTACCTCATTGTTTCAGCACCATTTGTGGAAAAGAGTATTCTTTCCCCCCATTTAATTACCTTGGCATATTTGTCAAAAAACATTTCACCATACATTTAAGGGTTTATTTCTGGATTTTCAGTTCTATGCTATTGATCTATGTTTATTGTCATGCCCGTGCCATACCACCTTGATTACAAGACAGATCTGTAGTAAGTTTTGAAAGTGGGAAGTGTGAGTTCTCTTATTTTGTCCATTTTTTAAAGATTATTATTCTGAGTCCTGTATATTTCCATTTACATTTCATCAGCTTGTCAATTTTTGACAAAAATACAGCTTGAATTTGATAGGAATTGCTTTAAATCTATAGAGCAACTTGGCAAATAATGCTATCTTAACAACACTAAGCCTTTCAATTCAGGAATATGAATTGCTTTCTATTTATTTGGACTTTCTTTAATTGCTCTTTCAATTGTTTGCAGTTTTTATAATATGACGCACTTTTCATAATAAAGTGTATTTTGCACCACTTTTTAAGAAATTACTCCCAAATATTTTATACATGTGATACTCTGTTAGTGGAACCATTTTCATAGCATAAAAAGGTGCACTAGCCCTGGAAAACAATTTGGTGGTTCCTCAAAAATTTAAAAGTAGAAATACCTGATGATCCAGCAATTCCACTCCTGGATAGTTAGGCACTTGAGAAATTAGAACCCTAGTGCTGTGTTTTCCTTATTTGATCTTACAATCTTGTAATTTAAATTTTAATTAATTGAAAGAACACTGAAAACACAGGTTATCAGCACATTACTGTAGATTAGGTAGACAGGACTCTGCCTGCGCTATCTCTGGGGTCATTAACCTAGAATGTCATCTCTGGGCTATTTTTTTTTTTTTAAATGGTAATGGGTGTTTCAGAAAACCAAGTTAACAGTCACAGCTCTCACTCCAGTGGCGCTGAATGCCAGGGTACTGCATGCCCACATTCTTCACACCAGTGAGCCTTTACACCCCCACACTTGTCTCCCTTCTTAGTGCTGAGGTCCAGTGAAGGCAACTCAGTGCCTGTGTGCTCAGCAAAGCAGAATATCCGACCAACCAGACTTGCTTCTCATTAGCTTTGATGCCCCCGATTGCAGCTAAACTAAGTCCAGGGTAAGTGAATTTTGATACCATCTATCAAGGGAGAAATTTTCAAGGGAAATATTTAATGCATTAACTTTGATGTGTATGTTGTTTTGTTTTTTTTTTAAAGCACTATTTTCCTGATGAACTACAAACTGAAATAAGAAGTAAAATCTACAGGAAAAATTCAAAAGTCACCACTTGCGCTGTCAGGCTAGTGGTCTCCAGTTTTCCAACATGGAATCTGAAACATGCACAATAGGAAGGGAACGGGACAGTCTTATCAGGAGCAGCACCTCTGAAAAAAACTGTGCAGGGAATATCAGGTTAACGGTAAAATTTCAGTGGTGTCTCAGTACAGAGATGAAAATTATGCTTTTGTAATTTTAATCTTCCCCAGGAAAATGATATGCTATAATATGAATAGTCTTCATTATTCAATATATAGAATGTGCTACTCAACCTGATGTGGCTGAGTGTCCCTTTACAAAGCTATATTTTTAATGATCGCATAGAAAGGAGGGAAATGAAGAATCACATTAAGTTCAGCATATTATCATAAGACGTAAGAATTGTGTAAGTCCATTCATTTCCATGCAAAGGGAGTTGTGTGAAGCACCTTTTGGTGATGAAGGCTAGCAAGCTTGGCACAGGATGAACCACTAAATTTAAAGACAACCGAGAAGACTGTCCTTAGTCCCTGAATTAATCTCATTTCCTTGTAACTCTACCACATGAAACCATCAGCTCCTCCAGTGTAGTGGCCATGCACGTAACTAGCACAGAATAGGCATAGAATAAGCAATTGTGAATAAAGGAAATCTCATTAGTTCTTGACTTGTGATATTTTCTAACTGGTAACAAGAAACTCCCATGTACCTCAAGCCTCACCAGTTCTTTTTTTTTTTTAAGATTTATTTATTTATACAAGAACCGGGGTACAGGCCAGATGCACGGGAGGGTGAGAGGAGTCACCACAGACAGGCAGACTGATGAAATAGACTGCTGAGGGGAGCAGTGGGCGAGACAGGAGAGGTCTGCCACACCATGTGGGATTCTCGCCAGCTGACCGGGATCGAAGCAGCGCTGCAGAGGCTGCAGACAGCTTCACAGTGTGGCGCTCAACCACCTGCGCCACCAGGGAGGCCCATCACCAGTTCTTATTACAGTAAAATTAAGTTATTTTCATTTTCATGTCCTACTTAAAACACTTGACAAAAAGTCACACTTTTTCAAAACAAAATGACATTCCAATGCAACCGGATCATGAGAAATGCAGATGAATATCCTAGTCCTCATACTAACTCAGTAGCAGTTTCTCAGGTTCACACCAAGAGTAGAGGACACAGTGACGAGCAGCTCTTCGGGGTATCTTGCTGGGGAACTCAAATAGCAGAATTGAGACACATCACTCATCTCACAACAGAAACAGGAATCTTAATGCAGCATTGTTCAGCAGTTCTCTCATGGACAACCCCCCAAAGGGGTTCAGCTCTTCAAAACAAAAGGGATGTCACCAAGATATTGTTTTTTGCCTTGAGACTCACTCATGATATGAAATCAAAATGTTAATGAGGAGCCAGCTGACTGGTTTTAACAGAATAGACACCTACCACAACAAAGGCAAAAGCATGACTTCTCAATAACAAAAGAGAAATACATCAGGTATCAGGAAGTGTGTTTAGAATGTCGCTAAGTCTTCGAGAGGATTTCCTACTGAAGACCAGAGAGCAGGACTTTCCATTTGCATCTAATTTCCTATAGGAGGTGAAACGAGTATGCAGCTATGTTCCAGATTCAAAAGATGAGAGTCACTGAAAAGGTTAAAAACCATTTCAAATACTCATAGATAATTTCAACATTACCACAAAAATAAAGCAAGCTAACTCACGGAGAAGGTTGACCCGCTGTTTGATGCTATGACAGTGTGGACTTCATCGTGCAGTTGTATGGAGAGCTCCCAGCTAGCCACTTGTGGTTTTACAATAGGCACTCTGAAGTAGAAAAAAAGGAAAAAGTTAATAATTTTGCATTATTCTCTCAGCAAACTGATTTTCCTTTGACATTAATTGTGCAGGGTAAAACTGCCAAAGTCTGTATTTCAGAACATTTTATTTGAAAAGATTCTATCCTTGGGAAAAAAAGGCTTTTAGATTTGAATTAGAGAGGGGGAAAAAGCCAAGGCCCAACGCAGACACAAGACAAGCGCAGTCTTCCTGAGGGGGCTGTGGTACCACCATCTTCTCAAAGCACCTTCACCTAGTCTATGAGGTTGAGTTGTTTAACTCTGAGAGCTCTTCAGACATTAACCTTCCTTAAGCAATATCAATTCCTTTTTAATATTTTCTTTTCCTAAATCACAATGCTAGTCTTCTTTTTCTAGATCTATTAACGATTTGGTATGCGGAAAACTGTATATAAGTATACAATATGGTGAGTTTGGACATATTTATTCTTTCCTATTACCATCACCATAATCAAGGTAATAAACATGTCCCTCAGCTCCCAAAGTTTCCTTTTATTCTTTTGTTTTGGTTGTTCCTTTATTTTTGTAAGAGCACACCATCAGTGATGCCAGCTTTAGCATTCAGGCCTTTTCTCGTGTATGATCAATGTTTCATGGGCCAGAAAAGTCAAGTAAAGCAGCCAGAGCCAAACAGAGTTCAGCTGGTGGCCTCAATTCTGCAGTGTCATTTCTAGGGTAGGTTTCAGTTTGGTTTCGTCTTTCTTTGTTTTGTTTCTTTATATTCTACATGAGTGAAATCATTCAGTATTTGTCTTTCTCCGTCTTATTTCACTTAGCATAATCCCCTCAAAGTCCATCCATATTTTCGCAAATGGCAAGGGGTCACTTTTCTTCCTTTTATAGCTGAGTAGTATTCCACTCTGTATATACTACCATATCTTCTTAATCCCCTCCTCTGTCCAACACTTAGGTTGTCTTCATATCTTGGCTACTGTAAATAGGGCTATTATGAACAGATTTTTGCATTTTTCGGGCAGATACAAAGGAATGGAATTGCTGCATCACATGTTAGATCTATTTTCAATATCGGAGAAGCCTCCATACTGTTTTCCCTAAGAGCTGGACTAGTCTACATTCTCACCAACAGCATATGAGGGTTCCTTTTTCTCCATATTCTCAATACTTGGTTTTTAGATATTTTGATATGGTCATTCTCATCAATGTGAGGTAGGTGATAGCTCATTGCAGTTTTGATTTGTATTTCCCTGATGACAAGTGTGGATGGACATTTTCTCATGTACCTGTTGACCAGCTGTTTAACTCTTCTGCTTAATTTCTTGATTGGCTTATTTGTTTTCTTGTTAAGCTATATGAGTTCTTTGTAAATCTTAGGTATTTGCCTTTTGTTGTATGCATGATGTGCAAATATTTTCTCCCACATGGAAGGGTGACTTTTCATATAATGGTAGTTTCTCTTGCTGTGCAAGCCATATTCTCATCGGAGGTAGCCATGTTTATTTTTGCATTTGTTTCCCTTGCCATTGTAGTTGAATTTCTCAGGCCTGCTGCAGAAAAGCAGTTTCGGTGGGTTTTTTTTTTTTTTTTTTAATCAGAATTGATCTTGCTACTTAGGGTCTTCTGTGGTTCCATATGTACCTCAGTAATGTTTGTTCTATTTCTTTGAAGAATTCCATGGAAACTTCAACAGAGATTGCATTGTATCGCTTTAGGTAAGATGGCCATTTTAATAATGTTAATTCATGAGCAAGGTCTATCTTTCCATTTCTTTGTGTCTTCTTCTATTTCTCTTAAAAATGTCTTTCATTTTTGTTGCACAGACCTTTCACCTCCTTACGAACCTAACTTTTATATAAACTGGTTATTCAAAAAACTGGGAGACATGCTTTCCGTCCATCTTCAGTTTGGTTCCAGACCACTTTATTGCAGTGTGGTTCCAGTTCCATGGCAATAAAGTGATCTGGAACCAAACTCACAATATTGAGGCACGCCTGTAATTCATTCTGATCTTAAGCAAACTAAGTCTCAGTTTCTCATGTGCAAAATAAATAATTCATCAGGAACTAAATTAAACAATGCAAGTTAAACATCCCCATCTATTGTTATGACCATACCCGACTCTAGGCCGACACTCTTGTTTTCCTCCATAACTGAAATTCCTCTAAGGAACCTGGATTCTTTCTCCTCTTGCTTCTTTCTTTCTCCTCTTGCTTCTCCCCTTACTTCCTCTTGCTTCTCAAACCAACACTTTTTTTTTCAAAAAGGATATTATCTCTCTCATATACTACTAATGATAGTACAAACTGTCACTTAACCTATGCTTAACACTGTTCACAATTAGTTGCCCAATGGAAGTAACTCTTTGGAGTCAACGAGAGACCCTCTAGTCCTGCATAGTCTCTGCTTCTGGAAGAATTGGGGCGCTGTTGTTCCTAACACACTGTTCAAATCCAGAGTGAGTTTTGCCACAGGAACTCATCTTACAGATAGTGGTGAGAGGTAGCCACCATCCTACAGAACCTAACTGTTAATTTCCCAGTGTTTCATTCTGGGTCACATCTGTTTCGTGTATGTTACAACCTGCCCCAGGAGACACCTTGTGGCCACAGTTAAACTGCTGAGGCTTCATCTTAGCCCATTCTCTCCACCCACCCCCCACTCCCACCCCCATCTGTACCAGGGAGGCACCTGATCCTTCTGAACCCGTCTCCACATCTGTAAAATGTGGATGGGAACAGAGCTGGGGAAGCAATGGGAAAACTATTGCTTCCTTGGTATACACAACCCCCAAGAGGCTCTTTTCCAACTGCTTCTTTTAAGGTTACATGTTAAGCATATATAGGAAAGAAGCCCCGAGGAGAAAGCAAAATCCGGGAGATACCAAGAAAAGATGGTCAAACTGTTTAGGATTCCACTCCTCTGCAGATAAAATCTGCCAGGATTACTGCCAACGTTTCATGGTTTGAAAGTTGTCTTATTTTTAAGTAAAATGGATGGGGTTGGGCAAACATGCTTACCATAACCATAAATAAACCCTGAAGTAGAAACAAACCAAAATAAATTATAAAGATAATGCACAGCAAACTGACCTAATAGATGCCCTGTTCCTGCAAATCACTGGATCTACATTAATAATTACTCTGAAATCTTGGCATCAATTCCACAAACACAAACATGTTCATAATGGTGACAATTATCTAAAGTTATATTTTAAGGTGAAGAAAAAGATCACATTTATGCATTAAAATTCACATCTCTAAGAAGATTTTTATCTGCAACTCTAAAGAGAAAGGGGGAAAGTCTCGGCGCTTCACTCAACAGAACAATCACACGGCACAGAAAACAGCTTTCTTTTACTTAAGTCCACGTCTAGTGAAAGAGGCTACTGTTGGATGAAAAATTTCATCTATGCAGCTTATTAGCTACCTGCAAAGCTGCCATCAATTAAGCCACTACTTCAAAAACAAATAAACCCACCAAAACTCAACGAAAAGGAATTCACATAAACAGCTACTCACAAAGCAAATCAAATAATGGCCCTTTCCCTGGCCTGTCCACTTTGATTATCATCAGCCAACCAGAATGACTGTGCTCAAGAAAACAAAATTTTTCTCTAACTTATGGGAAAAAAATGTCAGTTGATTGTCACAAGTGTTATTACTACATCTTATCTTGTTGGGATATTTTACTCAAAAACGGTGCAAGTAATATTAACTCAAAATAACTGCTATTTCATGTCATTTTTTTTAAAGTGGATTTTATCTAACCAAAAACTAACAGCATCTCCAGTTATCAAGGATGATAAGCATCTCAAGCCATAGATATTATCAGACACTTAGAAAAGCTGGTTTTCCATTGTGCCCTTATCTACTTGAGAGTGAGATGTGGAGTTAAAACAATGTTAGTGGTCAAAGAATCATTAAGCAATCCTTCATCATAACTTGCACAGTGGGTGGTCTGTAAAATGATCAAGAATAATATGCCGCGTTCCACAGCCACGGAGGTCAGCTCCTGCATACAAATCTTCGCAGGAAGAAAAAGGCCTTCAGAAAAGTGGGCCATTTATCTGAACCAAGTTCAGAGGATTTCCAGCCCGGTGAAAAGATATGTTATGCAAGCACATAGACGTATTCAGTGGGGGGAGACAGGACCAGCTACATGGAGACTACAAAGGAGGCCTCCCACGGCTCATGAATAAGTCGAGGAAATGATCAGAAAAAAAAAAAAAAGAGCGATGTTTAGACAGATGGTCCACTTAAAATGCCTGAGACAGGGCATAAGCAATTTTAATGAAACTTTAGCTCTAGCATATGAATTGTTTCTTATTTCCTCCAGGAAAAAAAAAAAAATCTAAGGCATACAGAAATTCAGCAATTTGCTGAAAAAACCCACGTTTTGCAAGTTGGGATGGAGGAAGAGTTACTCATACAAGTTTTATTGGTGCAATAAATTCATAGGGAATTCCTCACAGAGCCATCAGCTATCTAAATGAATATAAAAGGTATGGAATGAACAGATTAAAGGAATTTTAAACAGAAGTCTACTGCCAAACCAAACAAAAATCTAAGCCTTATTATGTGAGAACTTACAACACTCCAACATTAAAGTTCATCGCTGCTGACGAAAGATAAAAGCAGTATTTTCAGAGAAGCTTTCAATGTTAGAAAGTGTCAGAGTAGAGGAACAGAATTGTGCTGATAAGCAATTTTAAATGTGTGCATTCAAATACATGAGACCATGCAGGAGAAAGCTTAATCACAAAACAGAGCCAGAAATAACTAGGAAATACCCTCCCTCCCTACAGTTTGGCATCTTCAGTACTGTAAATATTTACACAAATGACACCTGGATCAAGAAATGAATGGCACTTATATTCTTATATATTTTACTATTATGCAAATCCCATTTCCTTTTCACATCTATAAGGTTCTCCATGTAAATTTTGGGCATAACACTTCAGGGCAGCTGTGGGACTTTCACAATCAATAACATGAATAAACACATTGATCA